CTCCTAAAACCTTTGATATGTCCGAGGTGGTGTCTTTCCTATGCTAATGAGATGACTGGTGGCTGGATAGCCTTGTGTTGGGGGAACTGGTAGGCAGGGGGACCAACCACGAGATTAGAGGGGTGGGACTTTTAGCCCAGTCCTGCCTGCTGCTCGGGGGAGGGGAGGGGGCTGAAGTTTGGGCTGAGCACTAATGGCCAATGATGTAATCAATTATTGTATATAATGAAGCTTCCATAAACCCCCCAAAGGACAGGTCTGGAGAGCTTCAGGCTTGCTGAACACACGGAGGCGCTGGGAGGGGGCGCACCCAGTGTGGGGTGTGGAAACTCCCCGTCCCTTCCCCACACCTCATTTGGCCTTTCTTGAGTTGTATCCTTTATAATTAATGGGTAAATGTAACCAAATGTTTTCCTGAGTTCTGAGAGTCCTCTAGCAATTGACGGAGTGAGAGAAGGGGGGTCGGGGTGTGAGAAGGGGGGTCCTCATTAAAAATACAGTAAATCGAGGGCTGTGGACATGTCAATCCTCAGGGCCATATTTTCCCTGAATGTGGGAGAGACCAGAGAGGTATACACAGGGTTTGGGAAGGTTATTTGATCTTGCTTGATAGCTTCCTAATATTTAATAGTTTTATTGAAGTATAATTGATGTACATAAAAACTTGTGCATATGTTTAATGTACATAATTTGATGAGTTTTGGAATATGCATACACCTGTAACCCTATCTTTTATTATTATTTTGTATTATGCAATCAGGGTAATGAACATTATCAGCCACCTCCAAAAGTTTCCTCGTGCCCCTCCCTTGCTTTTGACGGTAGAATCCAAGCCCCCGCTGTCTTGCACACTCCCGGTCCGCTCGCCGTGCTGTCGGTCACCGCTGCCGACCCCGCCTCTGCGACCCCGGATCGCCCCTTTCTTCGCACCCCGACCCCCGCTCGCTCGCACTCCTGACCCCCTCTCTGCAAAAACCCCGTCCCCTCTCGCCAGCGCGCCCCCCTCTCGCAACCGCCGCCTCCGCCGGCTAGTTTTCTCGCAGCCCCGTCTCGCGCCCGCCTTTTCCGTCGCTCGAGCCCGCCCCGCCCCTCTCGCAATTCGGCCGCCGGCGCCCTGCATCCTCGGCGCGCCCGCATCGTCCGCCATCACCCGGACGGCGCGGGCTTCCCGCCGGCCCGTGTGCTGCGTCCTCGCCACCCCCTCCGTTCGCCCCGGCGGCCCTTGCCTGCGCAACGCCCCGCCGTCGGCGGCCCCCGCTGTTCTCCGCCACCTGGGCGCCCCCGACGCCGCGCCTTGCGTTCGCACGCGGCGACGGTCGCTCCGCTCGTCGCGGTGCGGCCTGGGGGGAGGCGGTGGGTCTCGCGGTTGTGCCCGGGGCCGGGT